ACATTATCTCTCATCTCCCTCCCTGTCTTTTGAACTTCTCCACAGCATTGAGCAAAATGCTCGTATTTCCTGTGCATTTCAGGATTTTCTTTCCTTTTTTCTCCACTGGCGGTCCACCTCTCATCCCTACTTTCACATTTGAGTGGAATCAACCCATCAATGCAATCCTGATTCTTGCCTTTAAGGTAATTATAGTATGCGCAAGGCTTGGAACTTTTACTAACGAATCAGATTCAATGATGTTAACAATCAATTCACGGATAACGTTCAAATACGCATGACCGTCCTCACAAGCCTATCAACACAATTACGGGGGTCCGTCAATTTCCGATGTGAACTACAAGAACTTTCAGCTCTCCCAATTGGACTCCCTTAATCAACCTTTCCCATGTCTTTTCACCTTTCATGTCCACTATCGATGTGCCCACCGTCGATCAGAATTGGAAGAGGTAGATGGCCTTGGTTTCTCAACTCAATGAATGAAGTTGGCCTCAAGCTCAAATGACGCCCCACGACAAACTCGTCTAGTATTCGCCCTGAATTCATGCGATGTAGATTTAGCGTCAATTCCTTAACGCTTTCGATTTTACACCCATCCCCGAGTTTTTCTTTTTGGTGCATTTCTACGGTGCAGGATACTGAAGGAGTTCGACACAGAACAACAGCGTGTATTGAGCCATCGCATTGTCATAATGAATTAAAACCTATCGTCCGCATAAAATCTTTTACTCTCTTACAAAACAGAAAAATAAGGAGTTGAAGGTAATGTTGTTGCACTGTTATTTTGTAAAATCACACACCAACAAAAATATATGAAAATTCCTTCTATACAAAATTAAAAAGGTATACTATAAAAGCAGATGGGAAACAAAACAACGAACTTACTACACAATAAAATCATCAGCGTCCTTTGGACGCATAAGTTAGCCGTAAAAGTAAAACCGTTTGCTAGCACCTGTTTTGCTTCTCCAATTTTGTTTGAAAGAAGAAGAACATTCCAACAGTAAAAAATAGAATTTCAACATGAATAACAACACACCGGGCAAGCTTAAAAATCAAAAAGTATAATGAAGAGCAGAACATGGAAAACCTGGATGAACAATAACCTTTCGGCAGACAATAGATCGCCATCCAGAAATCAGCATCCTCAGCCACTGGAATAAAATGTGTTGAAAAGAAGTTTTTCACTCACTTAAATTTCAATAATATAAGTAAATAAAAATAAATACACACATACTATTGGGTTGCCCCATAATTCCTGACCGATTTTTGTTCCAATTCAAATTTCTTCATGTCAAATTAGCTTCATAATGAAATAAGTTGATATGTTGAAGAACACATCAGGACCTTCAGCCAGGATGTTTCAGAAGCTCAAATGCGCAACGGGATAATTAAGTAGGAATTGAAATAGATCAACGACCAAACCCACCATTATGCCTTACGACAATTCAAGAAGAACCTTGCAAGGAGAGCGGTAGGCTACGCTCAAGATCACCGCCAGTAACGCTATTACCAGAAAATCGTAGAGAACATCTGGACACAGCCTACGTTCCATGAATCGCCACCTGAATTGAAAGGGCTGTAAGAATAGCCTTGATGGAAACAGCATGCATCGACTGATTACGACCGACAAGCACGTCTGACTATCACCTGAAGTCTCATTTTGCGACGTACAGACAGGACATTCCTAGTTTACCAGTTCAGTAGTCCCGACCTTCCTCAACATCAAACACACTGCACGCCTATGGTTCCTCACAGCTGACTCACCAACCTCCAGCCAAAGCCCGAGCGCCTCATCCAACCCCTGATTTGGATCGCACGGAATATCCATTGAAATCTTTCACGTTTATCCAAAAAGCACTGCACAAGTAACCCTGAATAACTTCCCCAGTCAGGCCTGCGCGCAGTGCGGAGAATCGCGAAACGCCTCAAACTCTCCTTCCTCCAAATGAACACCAAGATAGCTCGCCACGTTTGAGATGAAGTGGATGGACCACGATATATCATCTGACGTGTAGTCTTTAAATTGCTCTATCGTACTGTCCCCTCCCTAGCGCACTGAAGCTGCAGCTACAAAGAAAAAAAAGAGTACTACAACCCCAAAAACGAAATTCCAAGCTTTCCATTTTACAGCTTCACTCCTTTTTGGAGGATTGCATCATTCGTCCCTCGCAAAGGCTACATATCCGCGATTACGAAATGATGCATATTTCAATCAAAATACTTTCAGGAAAATACACGGGAGAAATCACAGCGTTGCAATTCGCACGAGTAAAGGGGAGTAAGCCCCCCCCAACCTCGTAGTTGTATGTTACCAGCAATGAAATTCGACTTAACCTTTCACTGCAATGTTGGCAGATGACGAACCATTACAACTAGAGAACACTGCCCAAATTAACCCATTGGCGACAATGCGATTTTTCGCTTGTCTGCCGCGTCGGACCGCGCCTTTTTTGACATTTTTGAAAAATGTGTCATAATGCGGCTATCCACCTGCACCAAAAATGTTGAATCTTGAAGCATGAACTGTTAGAACTTTGCAAGTTTCGTATGATTGCAGACCGCTTCCAAAATGAGCGTAAATCTTTAGGTTTTGCCGAGGGTGTATATTGGAGCATGCCAGAAAAACTTCAAATCTCCACTTTAAAACCCGTAAATGGGGTCGGATCCAGATCTCTCTTTGTGAAATGTTGTAGCATTACTCTAGCTGACTCCAGGCGAAAAGCCAGCCGGATGCATTCAAAAATAACAAGCTTTGCCTTGGAAAATCACTTTCAAGTACCCGCTCGTGTAAAACATCAACTAAGGAAGATATGCACTGACCATTAATATCCCAACCACCCCAATGCACACAGCTGCCACAGCATTACCACCAATTAACGGCAGACCCTTCTAGCCAAAAAGTAACAATAGGAATGCAAAGGGTTACTTT